TCAGTGATGAGTGAATGGGATTTTTTCAGGAGTTTTCCCCATCCCTTCCTGCTCCCCAGAGGGTTTCAGTGTAGTCACTGCCACCATCAGTGCCGACAGATGTGATGCTGAAGGCCACAGCAATGGCATATCCTGGCCGCAGGCGATGTGGGCACAGAAGGGCAGGAGTGGCATGTGGGGTGGGCAAGAAGAGGTATGACCCAGGGCATCTCCCCAGGAGCACTCCTTGTTAGCTCTCCAACTCCTCAATTATTTATCTCTGCTGAAACAAACTCAGCCAAGCAAACTTCATGCCCCGTAGTGACACCGCCAGTTATTAAAAATAAAATAATAAAAATTCCCCAGTGAGTCACTTAAGATGTACATAATCAGCTCCAACTACAGCCATAGTGGTGTTCATGAGTCGCTGCTGAGTGCAGGGAGGGCAGGGCCAGGGCTGCATCCCCCTGCTGCATTTTCCAAAATGAATACACGGTGAAGAGTAAACCCTGAGTGTCCCCACTGACAGGTGGGGGTGATTGTAACACACATTGAAGGGGGGCCAGATATCAGCCCCAGCCTTGACAGGGGGCAGATCCCTGCAGGGGTGAGGGTCCTTCACTGGAGATCCCTGTGGGATTGCCACAGATGGGGGGAACCATGGGCATGGGGATATGCAGGGGGATGTGGGGGGATGTGGTAAGATGCAGGGGATATAGGGGGGTGTAGGAGAACATAGGGAATGTGGGGCAATGCAGGGAAGTGTGGGGGGATACAGGGAATGCTGGAGATGTAAGCATGCAAGGGGATGTGAGGAGATATGGAGATGCAAAGGGATGCAGGGTATACAGCAAGTATGTGGTGAGGTTGTGGGGGTGCAGGGATGTAGGGGATATAGAGAGGATGCAGTGGGCTGCAGGGGGATGTGATGACATGTGGGGGAATACAGAGGCTGCAGGGATGCAAGGAATATAGAGAGGATGTGATGAGATGCTGGGGATGCCAGGATGCAGGGAGATTTTTGGGGATGCAGGGGGATGCAGTGGGCTGCAGGGGCTGTGTGCAGGTGGGAGGGCTGCAGGAAGCCCACCTGTGGGCTCGGCCCTCGCCTCTCTAACATGTGGCCCCATGCAGCCATTCTCCGCATACCGCTAGCATGACTGGCTGTGCTTCTTCTCAAGTGCTGGGAAAGCAAAGGGCATAATTTTAGGAGAAGCGTGTGAAATCTGTTCTGGCAGATCATCCAGAGAGCTTTCCAGCGAAAAGAAAGCATTAACATTTGCTAAAGGTCCCTGCAACAAAGCGAGCGGTTCCCATCAGGCAAACCCCACAGTGACCGGGGGTTTGGGTGCTGTTGACCCGGAGCACTCAAGGTGAAGAGGTGCAAAACTCCCTGGGGTGTGAATGAGGACAGCTGGCTGCGGACCAGCAGTGCTCTGGGGATGCTCTGGGAGTGCCCTGGGGTTTGGATGGTGCTTCGACACAGTAGGGCTGTGCAGGGGAGGGGAGCAGGAGGGCTCCAGGGTGCGATGGTCACAACCGGGAGGGGGCACTGACGTGGTGCTGTGTCCCCACCGCGTCTCCTCCGTGCCCCAGCCTCCTTTTCCCCCATTCCAGTCCCCAAGATGGATTTAGGGAGAAGGAGGGGCGAAACCCGCAGCTCGTGATTCATCCCTACTATATTCGCGCTTATTATTAGAATGATGAAAACACAGTCGGAGCTGGAATCGCAGATGTAGGAAGGAGGGCTGCTACTCTGGGCAGTGCAGCCGCTAGCTCTGGTGCTGCAGGATTCCACCCCGCGAGCAGCAGGGCCGTGCAGGTGGATGCATGGGGTCCTGCAGGGACAGCTGCACTGGGGACCCGCTCTGCAGGACGTGGTGCTCAAACCCCACACATGCAGTCTCAGTGCTGCGGGAAGCCCAGAGTGATGTGGGATGCAGCACACGTAGCGTCAGTCCTTTGGGATCGTGAAACAGTGGGTGACCCCCACCGGTCCCCAGAGAGGTGACGGCACCCCTATTTCTGTCTCTGGCCTCGCAGGGAACATGTGGGAGGTATTTTTATCCCACTGCCAGCTCCCTTAGTCACCGATGCTTGCTTTAAATGGGTCAAGAGGGAATAAAGCTGCTGCAGCCCCGGCCTGTCTGGGAGCACACACACCCGCAGCAACCCCGCAGAGCCAGGAAAGCTCTGCCCCGCTTGGGCAGCATCGGCCCCAATTAACATCTCATTAAAGCCCAGTGGTGGGAGAGGGGTGACACATTTTGGGGGAGCAGGATTGCCACACACACTGGGCCAGAAGGATGTGGTGGGATGGGTCTGAGTGTGCAGGGAGAGCCCCCGGGTTTGCATTTGTTGCCAGCATGGGTGCAACGAGGCACAACAGCATTTGACATCAGTGACCCCAAAATTGCAGTGATACTCCAGGGATGTGGGAAGATGTCACCGTGAACTGGTGACATCGTGACACGGTGACAGCCTGGTGGGGATGTTCATCCCATTGGGAGGGCAGGAAGCGGGCAAGGAGCAGGGCCACAGCATCGTGCCCTGAGGAGAAGCAGCGGGAAATGTCTCCTGATGTGGAAGATGGTGGAAGGGCTGCTCAGGTGTTGCTAATTCTCCAAACCTCGTGGAGCAAAGCAGTGCTTCAAGGCAGAGCTGGCTTGCAGGTCCACATGGGGTTACCAAAGGCCAGAAAGCAGCTGGCCAAGAGTTGGAGGTGGAAAAGGTAGGAAAAGATCTCTAAGATTACCTAGTCCAACTGTCAGCCCATCCCCACCGTGCCGACTAACCATGTCCACATCCACACCTCAAGGGATGGTGACTCCACCACCTCCCTGGGCAGCCTGTGCCACTGCAGCACTGCTCTTTCTGAAAACTTTTTCCTAGTATCCAACCTGAAATTCCCCTGGTGCAACTCAAGGCTCTCATTCTACTGCTTTTAACTGGGAGCAGAGGCCAACCCCCACCTCGCCACAGTCTCCTTTCAGGTCATTCTAGAGGGTGATGAAGTCTCCCCTGAACTCTTTCCCAGACTGAACAATCCCAGTTCCCTCAGCCACTCCCCATCAGACCCGTGCTCCAGACCCCTCACAGCTCTGCTGCCCTTCTCTGGACAAACTCCAGGGCCTCCATGTCTTTCTGGTAACGAGGGGCTCAGAACTGAACGCAGCACTCAAGGTGCAGCCTCACCAGAGCTGAGTACAGAGGGACGGTTACCTCCCTGCTCCTGCTGGCTGCACTATTGCTGATACAGGCCAGGATGCCGTTGGCCTTCTTGGCCACCTGGGCACACTGCTGGCTGATAGTCAGGCAAGTATCGAACAACACCCCCTGATTCTTTTCCTCCATACAGCTTTCCAGACACTCTGCCCCAAGCCTCTAGCAACCTGGGGTTGCTGTGACCAAAGTGCAGGACCCAGCACTCGGTCTTGCTGAACTTCATCCCATGGACCTTAACCCAGCAATACAACCTGTCCAGGTGGCTGTGTAGGGCTCAGGTAGGAATTTTCTACCAAATCAGACAGGGCTCCATGCAGGCATCTCCCCACACTGCCCTGGCATGGCTGCTGTGCCTGTGGAGCTCTGCCGGTCTGCCACGGAGCCGGCACACCGCACGCTGTTCCTGGCCATATGGCTCCAACCTGAGCCCAGTGAGCTCGGGCGGATGGGATCGCTCTGCTGCTCTCCTGCATCCCCAGTGCTGGAACGTTGTTCTGTGTATGGATGCTGGGGTAGCTCCTGGGGTGGGGTCAACACCAGAGGGACATATGGGGTCTGTGCCCCCCCCTCGTGACACAGCCAGGTTTAAATGCTGACTCCCTGCGCAGCATGCACTGTATGCATTTATTTTCCTTTTTTTTTTTTTTCTCAAAAAGCTCTCGCTTTGAACAAATTCCCTCCCGACCCCTCAAGAAACTGTTTGGGTTTGAACCCGACGCCGTTGGGAAGCAGGGAGTTTGTACATCTCAACTTCAGAATGTTTGCAATTATCATTTTAATGGCAAACGCACATATGCTCCCGCAGTGTATATAGGGCATTGCGCGGTGCGGTTCCCCGCAGCCCATTCCCAGCCACAGCACTGAGCGCAGGCGGGGGAATAACACCCATCTGCGTGTGCAGGGCTGGGAACGGGGCTGCCATCCCGAGCGGTTTGCCCAAGGCTAAGAGGTGGCATCGAGAACATCGTGCCATGGCTCTGCGTATTGACGCCCCTTGGATGAGATGGAGCCCCAACCACCGTCATTTGGGGCCGCAGCCCCCACGGGGATGCTGGCAGGTGCCGGCACAGCAGCTCCACCGTTCCCCAGAGGTGGTGCTCTCCCCGCTGCCCCTCTCCCCTCGTCCCCCCGGGGGGCTCCGGAGCTGCGCTGCGCGGGAGGGGCGCGGGGCGGTCCCCACCCGACGGGGCGGGCCGGCTCGGTGCCGCCCGGCGGGGCGGGCGGGCGAGCGGCGGAGCGCTGCTGCAGGAGCTTCTCCGGTTTCCCCGCCGAGCCGTGCCTTGCTGCCTCCTTCCTCCCTCCCTCCCTCCCTTCCCGGTGCCGAGGGCTTTTCGCTTCTTCGCTCTTATTTTTTCTTCTCCCTTTCTTCCCTCCCTCTCTCGGTGCCGGCAGTGCGGCGGGGATGGGGCGACCGAGCGTTCTCGCCGCTCCGGACCGCTGCCCGCATCCCCACCCCGGCCGGGGGCTCTGCCCCAGCCCTGAGCCCCGAACCCCGAACCCCTGAACCCCCGAACTCCCGAACCCCCGAACCTCTGCATCCCGCACCTCAGAACCCCATTGGCCGTTTCTGGGGGAACAGAGACGGAAGTGCACTTTTTTCCCCCACTTCTTAATTTTTCCCCCTTTTTTTTCCTCCCTTTTTGCATCCCCTCCTCGGGGCTTCCCCCCAGCCATGGGGCTGCTCCGGGAGGGCTCTCGCTGGGCAGGCAAGCAGCTGTAACCCTCGCCACGGTGCACGGAGGAACGGGGTGGGGGGGTCCTCCAGTGGAGCAGCGCTCGGTCTTCTGGGGGTGGCCATGGCCCCCCGGAGCCGCGGGCGGATGGAGCGGAGCTACGTGGTGGGCATCTGCTGCCTGGTGCTGCTAGAGCGGAGCTGGGGCGCCGAGCCCGGCACTGGGGACGGCGGTAACAGCAGCCGGGCACCGGCGGTGGAGGACACAGCCCCCGCGCCCACTGAGCCCACCCCAGGAGGGGACCGTTGCCGCGGGTATTACGACGTGATGGGGCAGTGGGACCCGCCATTCAACTGCAACGCCGGCATCTACCAGTACTGCTGTGGGACCTGCGGGTACCGCTTCTGCTGCCAGTTCAAGGCCAGGCGGCTGGATCAGAGCGGCTGCTCCAACTACGACACCCCCAACTGGGTGAACACGGGGCAGCCGCCCGCCCGTGTGGATGAGAGCCCCGAGGGCCCCACCCGTGACAAGACCAACATGATCGTCTACATCATCTGCGGCGTGGTGGCCATCATGGTGCTGGTGGGCATCTTCACCAAGCTGGGCCTGGAGAAGGCACAAGGCCCCCAGACTGAGATGACGGTCTCCAGGTAAAGGGGTCTCGTTCGGTCCTCCCACTTCCCCCAGCCCCATGCACAGGGTGAGCCCCACTGTCACTTCGTCCCCAAGGGGATGAGAGAGTCCCCAGACCCTAGCATGCAGAGGGGTGGTGGTGGCAGCTATGTGTCACTCGTCTTCTCCATCCCTCATTCCCTCTGTCCCTCATCCTCCCCATCTCTCCACCCCTCTGACCCTTATTTCCTCTGTCACTCATCCCCTCTGTCTGTCATCCGATCCGTCCTTCATCCCTTCCATCCCTCATCCCTTCTGTCTCTCATCCCTTCTGTCCCTCATTCCTTCTATCTCTTGTCCCCTCTACCCTTCATCCCCTCTGTCCTTCATCCCCTCCTTCTCTTGTCTCCTGCATCTCACATCCCCTCCATCCTTCACTCCCTCCACTCCTTGTCCACTCGCTCCATCCCTTATCCCCTCCATCCCTTGTCCCCTTCATCCCTGACTCAGTGCTGTCCCTCTGTCCCCAGCAGCTGATGATGTGGGCAGAGTGCTTGTTGTTGGAAGCGGCTTTTTGCCTGCATGTGTGCCTTGTACCCTGGTGGGATGTCACTCCCAGGGAGGGGACCCAAGCTGCATACCATGGGGTTGCCAGCCCCTCACTTCTCATGGGAGCTCCTGCTCCAGGCAAACAGTTCTTGTCCTGTGTCTGCCCCCAAATCGTGGTTTTGGGCAGCTGCTGGGGAGGGATGGGCACAGGGATAGGGAGGACAGGGATAGGCAGGGCTAGTGGCTGCAGTCCCCTTGATCCCTCCTTGCATTATGTTCCTCCACTCAGGTTGATGTTTCTCTTCCTCTTTTTCCTCTTTTTTTCCCCCCCTTTCACTTTTCTCCCCCGATGATCACATTCAGTGAGTTTAACACTTCTCAGCAGCTGACAGCAGCTACAGCCCGGGTACAGCCCTGCCCCTGCGGCTCTGACTCAGATCTGCCCTCTTCGTCCTCCCCCAGCACACATGTGTGCACACACATAAACACATCTTCCTGGGCTTTTATTCTGGGAATTTAGCATGGCAAGGAAATTATTTCACTGAGATGATGCTCTGGTTGTATCCACCACCTCAGAGACCTGCATGGGGATCTGCTTGGGGACACCTAGTCCTGGCTCTACTCCCATCCCTTCTCGCTTCACCAGGTGCTGTGGAATTTGCTGTCTCCCCAGTTCTGTGCACCCCCTTCCAAGGATGCACTCCAGTTCCTGCCAGCATGCTCCAGCATGGGGAACATGCGGCTCATTGCCCAGCAGATCCTTTTTTCCCCGAGGCTACTGATTTTTTTGGACACCACCATATGGAGCGGGAGGAGGCGAGCTTCCCTTGGGTGCCTCTCAGGGACAAACCCAGGAGCCTGCCTCTGTCCTGGCACGCACTGGGGTCTTGTGCATCTGTGGCTGAAGGTCCCAGCCAGGTGCCACCATCTCCTCTGTCCCGATGTGAGATATCTCATTTGGGCACCGTATCTCCACCCGCCTCTTGCCGCGCATGGGCACTGCGATCTCGCGTCCCGCCTGATGCCGCAGGTTGCAGCTTCTCATTTGCTCCTCAGGAGCTGCAGCATGGCCTCGGGCCAGCTCCCTGTTGCATGGCCTCGCTGGTTCCTCTTCCCATCCACCCATCCTTCCACCCATCCATCCATCCTTCCGCTCATCCACCCGTCCATCCATTTTGTCACTGTTCTTCCACTCTTGCTGCTGCTCACACTCGGTGTGGTCCACCTCAAACACAGCTTCTTCTCCAGGCTCTCACAGCTGGGTCCAGAAAGAGGTTCAGGCACCTAAAACACTGCAGTTCCCCCATGTCCCTGTGCCTCTGCAGGTCCGTATGGCGGCTCCGCCAGGCTCACTCCTTCCTACTCGGCTAGCACTTGGCACCGTCCCCATGCTCGCTCGGCGTGCCCAAGGCTCTGTGAGTCAGGAACACCTGCCCATGTTTTTCTTGAGGCTGCCGATGTTGGGGTCCTTTCAGGGCAGGGGGATCTGCTCGTGTCTACCACATGAGGACATCCTCATAGAGACCTACAGGAGGCCCACGGAAAGGGGCCTGGGGGCTCTGTAGAAAAGGAACAGGCTGGGTCTCTCTGTGCTTTCTGGGGCCCCAACCCTGCTGGATATTCCTGGTGTGGCCCCAGCCTCCATCTCCAGGGATACCCGAACAAGGCCCAGTGGTGAGGTCCCATGCTGTCACCTCTATTTTTTGCACCAGTGGCTCAGGGACCAAGTGTGGCATTCCAGCTCATTCAAGGGAGATGCCACCATGTTCTCATCTTCCTCCCTCCCCCCGAGCTTTCCTCTCTGCTCACTCCTGGAGCTCACATTGGGACAGTTTTGGGGGTGCAGGTTGTGTCCCTTCCCAGATCTTCCAGGTGGGGTTGTGCACTGCATCCAGGTTGCCTAGGGCCCACCCAGCACCCATGGCCACAGTGATGGATGGAAATCTCACTGAGCTCACTGGTACTATATTGCAGATAGGAATTTGATGTGCCCCTCAGTCCTCATCTCGAGCTGCACTCTGAGGCCATCCCAGACCTTTAGGTGAACTAAGTCGATGCAACTTGAGCCTCCCCAGACCCTCAGAATAGGGTCAGTGTCCTCCAAAACCACGATGGGGAGCCCTCCAGGGCCACCTCTTGTGCTTGAGACTCACGGATGGGAACGGAGCTGCTCTCACTGTTATTGTCCAGGCAGTTGGGGCCAGGGGCAGGTTTGTGGAAAAGAACACTGATGGATTTATCTGGAGAGGAAAAGTCGCAGCTAAAGGACTGCTCGAGCTTGGTAAATAGACCCGAGGAAAAAAAAAAAAAGAAATAGGTCAAATCGCATCGGACCTCCTGGTGAAACGAGCCTGGGTGAGTGCTGGGCCCTAGGGACATGCAAGAGAGGCAGCAGCTGACAGCGCAGCAGCTCCCGCAGTGACAGCCACAGCCCCGCGAGCCGCTGGCCCTGCACGCTGCCTGGCATCAGCCCCAGGCTGCTGGGCCATGCTGGTACAGCCCCACAGACTGGGAGTTCTGATGGGGAGAGGGCTAGGCTGCAGGAGGCTGATGGATCTTTAGGAGGAGATGGTTTATGGGGTAGAGGCACCTCTACAAGTGCAAAGCCCAGCGCTAATGGAGGCTCAGGTGATGGGCTGAGGTGGGCAGGGAGCTCTGGGTCTGTCTGCTCCCTGCAGTGTGCCCAGGTGGCTGTTGAAGATCTGCAGCAGACAGCTCTCCAGGTGCAGCCTCACTAGTGCTGAGGAGAGTGGAAGGACAACCTCCCTCCACCTGATGGCATCTTTCAGCTTAACGCAGCCCATCGGCTTTCTCTGTGATGAAGGCATGATCCTGGTGTGTGCCCTGCTGTGGGATGGCCACTGTGTCACAGCGGTGCTGCAGCATCCCCAGGCCTGAACAGTAAATGGCAGGGTGCTGTGTCTTACGTAACGGTGCTTAATGTTTAATGCTATCGCTTACTGGGAGGACGCAGTGAATGGCAACACCAGAGGCCACTGGTGCAGCCTCCTTGCTACAGAGGGGTGACCCTCTTCATCATTTCCCCAGGCCCTGCTCCCAAATGGCTCCAGTGAGGGGGCTGCCCCTTCTCCCCAGAGCTTGCAGCGTGGGGCAATAGGGACACCTGGACTGGGATGGGGGATGTAGGCATCGCCTGATGGCCCTGTGCTCCTGTGCCCCTCCCCAGGACGCTCACCGACCTGCTGAAGCAGCCGGGCCACGGCCCCTCTGAACACATCGATGGCCTGATGGGCAGCATGCAGGTGCAGCTGGGTGAGGGGCTGCCCCGGGGACCCCCAAGGAACAGCACAGGTAAGGCATAGGCTCCCCAGTCCCTTCTCAGAGCCTCTCTGAGGTGCCAGCTTGCTGCTGGGCATGCTGCTGCCCATGGGGGGAAAAGGGAGAGGCATCTAAGAGGGCTCTGCACTCCCCTGAGCCCTCACCTCTGCCCCCAGACAAGTTGCCCCTGAACAACGCGGTGGACAGCACTGGTGTCACCTCACTGGGGCGGCCTCACGGCCACAGCAAGCGCCCACTGCTGGGCAGCAGCCTGAGCCCACCAGCCCCCAACTACACTGCGTACAGCACACTCACAGCTGGAGGTGAGCGGGGAGTGGGAGGGCGCAGGGGCATGGCGGGGAGGGGGCAATGCACAGCATCCTCCCATGGACCCCCAGCACTGCCCTGCCAATTAGTGTCCAGGTTCTCCCCCGCGGACCCATTGCTAGCCAATCAGTGCCCATTATCCACCCCATGGGCACTGCCAGTTAGTACCCAGGATCCACCCTCCGTAGACCAACTGCCTGGCCAATCGGTGCCCAGCATCCCCCTCATGGACCCGCTGCCCAGCTAATCGGTGTCCAGGATCCCTCTCCATGCATGCACTGTGTTCCCCAGCCAATCACCATGCAGACTCCTGCCCAGACCTGCAGCACCACCCAACCGGTCAGCAGGATCCCCCATGGACATTCCACACTGCTCAGCCAATCAATGCCCAAGATCTCTCTCTACACTCCTCACCAATCAGCAGCTAGGATCCACCCCCTTCCCAGCCAATCAGCACCCAGAAGACCCCCAATGGCCCCTCCCCACCCCCCAACTCCATCTCTCAGTCAATTTCCCCCTGCCAAGGGATGGGGTGCCCCATGGGGGTGACACCAGTGTCCCTGTCCCTACAGAGAGCATTCCTGAGGACTTCTACATGCGTTTTGGGGAGCCAGAGGTGCCCCCCCCCCAGCACTCTGCCCTTCCCAACCACCGAGGGGCCCGAGGGCTGCCCCCCACCAGGGGTCACCAAGGCCAAGGGCCTCCCCAAAGCGCCAGGGGGCTCTGCCTTCCCAGGGGGCTGGGAGGGAGGCCTCCCCCGGGGCCTACGCCGGCCTGGGCCCACGGCACCGCTGTACGGCCAGGCTCACCGGCACCTGGCCACCAACAGCAAGACTGAGGTCACCGTCTGACACCAGGACCAGCAAGGTGCCATCACCAGGGGACAGGCAACGAGTTGTGGCTGTTCTCAGCTCACTCCATGGATGGGCAATGGACTTAAGCAGCAGATTGGCTGCACAGCCTCGTGTCCCCCCTTCCCCACCACCCAGCTTCCCCCTTGTTAATAAACACATGGAAGTGTACGGCCTCGTGTAGCTGCACTACGGGGACGGAGAAGAGGAGCAGGGCATGGCGGTGACACCACCTTTATTGGGTGAGGGAAGTAGGCTGCCAACAACAGCTCCCTTCCACCCAAAACCAACAAAAAGTTACAGTATATACACACACATATAAAAACTGTAGGGATAGATGGGCACAGAGGGTGGGAAGAGTAGAAAAAAGGGGCAAAGAGCCCCCAGAGAAGGAAAAGCACTGGGGGGCCTCAGCCCCTCATATAAGCAACAAGAAGAAGGCTGAGGGCCTCTAGATCCTCCTCCCCATTCACTGAAGTACAAAACTGACCCCTGGGGCAATGGAAAATAACTGGGAGATCGCAACAGGTCAGAGCTGCTGTATTTTAGTAAAGGAAGCAGATAGGAAGTGGACGAGGATGCAACTCCTGGCAGGAGCACAGATAAGCCAGGAGCCCTGTGCTGGACTCTGTGGGGACAGAGAGTGTCCCTGTGAAGTGGGAGGGAGGGCACCATGGGGTGTTATGGAGGTGACAGCACTTCTCCCATGTTGGGACCCCAAAGCCACATCCTGTACAAAAGGACAAGGGCTGTGAACTGCTTACCAGGCCCCAGGGGTACAGGGGCTGGGGGACAGGCTCAGTTCTGGGACTGGGAACTGAATAAAATAAACCATTTCTAACAGTTTCACCTGCACCAACATGAAGGCACCACAGCCAGCAGCCTCTGCTCCCACCACCTGCGGGGACTGGCCACAGCCTCACCTTGCTGAAATGAGGAGGAAGATGGAGAAGAGGAGGGCTGCTGTGTCAGTCCCTGTTTGGTAAAGCCACAAACACTCCTATTAAAAAACAGCGGTATAAAAACGGTACAGAAACCCATCACTGGCCCCAGCTGATGATCCCAGTAGGGTCAGTCCAGAGGGCATCAGCACCAGGCCCCTATGGGCAACCCCAGCACAGCCACAGGGTGTCCCTACTATAGTGCCCCCCAAAAGTGCAGGGGCAATAAAGCCACACCTAGGGCAAGATAAAAAAAAAACAAACCCTCCCACTCCCACTCCAGCATGATCCCACATGACCCTAACCTACAGCACTGATTTGTTTTTTTTTCTTTTTTTTTTCTTTTTTTTTTCCTTTTTCCCTCCCTCTCCTTTTTCCTTGCATTTTTCCCCCCCCTTCCTTCTTCAACACGGAGGAAGTCCGGGCTGGAGGCTGGCGAGGTGTTAGGAGGCGGCGATGGCTGTGCCCCCACTCAGCTTGACAATCATCTGTTGGCAGTCGTTGCACGAGCGCTTGTCCCCAACCTTCTCCAGCGTGCGTGCAGCCTCGGCCAGCAGGACGGCACGCTGGCTGGGCGAGGACAGGAAAGAGAGTGGGAGGTGGCGGCAGGCCAGCAGGATGGCAGTGGCTCTTTCCCTCTGCCCTGGCAGTGTGTCCAGCTCCCCTGCAACCAGCAGAGAAAAGAGCTACGGGAGCTGTTTACCCCAGGGAACTCCTTTTGCAGAGTCCCAGCTATGGGGGTGACTATAGAATCATTAACACTGGAGAAGACCAATAATATCATCTACTCCAACCACCCAACTACCACCAATACTGCCCACTAAACCATGTCCTCAGTGCCATCATCTACCCTTTGCTTGAATACAGCCAGGGATGGTGACTCCATCACCTCCCTGGACAGCCTGTGCCACTGCAGCACTGCTCTTTTGGAGAAAAAATTGTTCCTAATGTCCAGCCTGAACCCCTCCTAGCGTAACTTCAGGCCATTCCCTCTTGTCCTATTGCTGTTACCTGTGGGTAGAGGCTGACCCCCACCTCACCACAACCTCCTTTCAGCTTGTTTTAAAGAGAGACAAGGTCTCCCCTGAGCTCCTCTTTTCCAGACTGAACATCCCCAGTTCCCTCAGCTGCTCCCCATCAGACTCGTGCTCCAGACCCCCCACAGCTCTGCTGCCCTACTCTGGACAAACTCCAGGGCCTCCATGTGCTTCTTTTAGTGAGGGGCCCAGAACTGAACACAGCACCAGTGCCAAGTACAGAGGGACAGTCACCTCTCTGCTCCTACTGGCTGCACTGTTGCTGATACAAGCCAAGATGCCATTGGCCTTCTTGGCTACCTACGTACACTGCCGGCTTGTGTTTAATTGAGCATTAACCAGTACCCCCAAATCCTTTTCCTCCATGTAGCCTTCCATCTACTCTGCCCCAAGCCTGTAGAATTGCATGGGGTGACCGAAGTGCAGGACCCAGCACTTGGTCTTGTTGAACTTTATCCCACTGGCTCAGCCCAGAGATCCAGCCTGTCCAGGTTCCTCTGTAGGGCCTTCCTACCCTCAGGCAGATTGACACTTCCTCCCAAGTTAGTGCTGTCTACAAACTTACTGAGGGTGCACTCGACCCCCTCATCCAAATAATCAATAAAGATATTAAATAGGATGGGCCCCAATACCAACTCCTGGCTGGCTCTACACAGCACCAAATAGCCACAGCCAAATGCAGCTCCCCATGCTGACCTTGCTTGCTGCTCTGGGTTGTGCGGCGCCTGAGACTGTGTTCCAGCAGCTGGTGGGTGCGGGTAGGGCTGGCCCCTGCCATCAGGCGCACGGTAGCTTCGTGAAGAAAGACCTGGAGGGACAGCAGGGTGGGTGGTTAGGGGTAGGCTGGAGGCAGCCCTCAGCTGTGTCAGCAGCACAGTGCTGACACCCTGACAACAAGCAGAGCCCACATCCACCTGCCTGCAGTTTGCAGGTCAGGGCAAGAGGGAGGAAAGACAGAAAAAGTTGGGAGAAAAAAAAAAAAAAAAGCAGCACAAATTGCTTTTGACATGTAACTGAGTAACCTGGAAAGGGAGACGGCCGAACCGCCAGAAAGAGGGCAGAAAATAGAAGAGCAGACACAGGTGGTGCTCCGCTCTTTCCTTCCCCACTCCTCTGCCAGGAGCAAGGGCCAAAGCTCACCTTGCGGTATGCAGGCCTGAAACTGTGGGCCAGCTTGCGCAGGCTGCCGAGGTCACGCTGGAAGCCAGTGAGCTCAGAGGGTGAGGCATGGTAGGTCTCACCCAGCGCCTGGCTGCTGCTCGCCTGCTTCTGCCACAGGCTGGTGCGGAGGGACAGCAGCAGGTCACAGGCCAGCAGCTGGATCACCTGCGGGAGCCACAGAGCAGACACCGCTCAGCACCAGGCGAGGAGCACAGCAGAGCTGCACAGCTCGCCAAATCCCTTTTCCCCATCTGTTGCTGCCCCCTAGCAACGCTTGCTGTTCCAGCTGCCCTTCAGAGAGTACCTGCTCTGTCGAATGGAAAGCGCCTCTGTACTGCACTGCAGGAACATTGCACAGTTACTGCCAGCACATGCAATGCAACTACAATGCACTACAGCTGCCACCCAGGAGCAACAGGGACATGAGCTGTCCCCATACGCTGTGCAGGGAAGCTCCACCTTGAGGTGATCCTGGAGAGAAGAGAAACAAGCAACACACGTCCTCAGGAATAGCACAGCACCGTCCCACTTATGCAGGAGGGGGTTCTGATGCTGCCTGAAATGGAGTGGCCCTGACATAATGAGGTCCCTTCTCACCGGTGGCAGCAGCTGCCCCTGGCTGGACAGAGATGGAGGTTTTCCGTAGGCCAAAGTGGACAAAAAACAAAACACAGCAGAGAAGAGGTGGCAGGTACTGGAAGCAAATGACAGCACCTGCAGCACTGCTCCTCTGTACAGCAGGGACAGAAAAAAAATGCCAATGCCCTTCAGAAGCAAAGGGTGAAAGCATCCCCCATATTCCTATCAGACTCAGGACGAATGGAAAGAACAGACACAACCAGGCCACGACGGATCACACGCCGCCTGCAGTACGCAGCCCTTACATTGCTGAGGGGAGTGCTGGAGGCACCGCTGCTCATGTTGAGGCTGTTCCACAGGTGGCTGCTGGCCCTCTCACAGTGACCCAGCGAGCTCTGCTGCCCATCCGCCTTTGATGACAGTGAGGCCTGCATAGCTTTGCACAGGTGGAAGGTGGCTTTCACCAGGGCGTTCCTGGAAGAGAAAGAGCCCTGCCTTCAAGTACTACGTTGGTGTCACCTGCTCCGCTCCATAAGGAGGAATTTCTTCCTTATTTCTCACCTAAACCTGCCCTCTTTGTGTTTGAAGCCATTACCCCATGTCCTATCACTACATGAACCTATAAAAAAAAAAATGTCCCTTCGTCTTTCTTAGAAGCCCGCCCTCAGCACACAGGGAGCCCATGGCTGCGCAGCACAGGCTGCAGCCTAAAGAAGGAAAAGTGGGAGTTTAGGAGCAGCACTACGCACTCAGACATCTCCAGGGACTTTGGCAGGCGCTCCACTTCGCTGAAACGTGACCTCACAGCTGTGTCATCCCCTCTGAGCCAACCAATGGCCATAGCGACTGCTGCCGACCACCACCTGCACACCACATCTGGGCCTACAAGAATGGACTCAAGGGTTAGAACCACAGAACCCACAAAGGCTGGAAAAGACCTCTAAGATCACCCAGGCCAAGTGTCAGCCCATCCCCAGTATGCCCACTGCTGATGTCCTCAGTGCCACATCCACATGGTTCTGGAACCACCTCCAGGGATGGTGACTCTACTACCCTCTGTGCCAGTGCAGCACTGCTCTTTCTGAGAAGAGTTTTTTCCTAATATCCAACCCGAACCTTCCCCGTCACAACTCGAGGCCATTCCCTCTCATTCTACTGCTGTCACCTGGGAGAAGAGGCCAACCTCACCTTGCTACAGCCAGAACTTACTCTATCTGCTTGTCTAGAAACACCGTGACACCCATCCCGACAAGGCTCTGCACTCACCACCCCAATCCATCAG